AAATATTGGATTTAATATTAAAAATATTTTAAAAAGTCGGAAAACATCAGAAATTAGCAATAAAAAGCAAAAACAACGCCAACCGAGTATAAAAATCGAAACGCCCTAGTAGAGCGGCGATGCGCCGCTTCTATCCAATTTTGCCCCAATGCGCTAGGCGCCCAGAAACCAAACATGCGCAGCAAGTGGCTACTGGTTAAGCTACACTATCTTACCAACACTACTTACTCTCAGCTACAGTGTAGCATACTTTCAGGCACCGGATGTTGCAACTTATTACACTACAATACAATATTCATTAAGTAAAATTATCTAAACAAATACGGAGCTGCAATATATTCGCTAAACGCTGCGCACTAAGCTAAGCTAGGTGTATGTGGATTTACTAAAACACACCGAGCTTGTAGTAAGCATGAAAAATAACAAAGTTTATCGATATTAATACACCGCATATACTCTTTACTCTTCTTTGCTGGAAAAATTTTTTTCACAACTTATTTTAAGAATGCCTTCATACAGAGATTGAGGATTATATATAATATACAATAAATAAAAGATGTATAGATTAAATACATTGCATAAAAGTTTCGAAAAGTTTTATATGCGTACAGTACGGCTGCGTGTGTGAATTAGGTCGCCATAGCAGTTTGGTGTCATCCGTTTTCCTGAAAGTATGCTACGGCTTCGCTGCACGCACTGCTTGCTGCTCTATATGTGTGTGCGCAAAACGCAGCAGCCACCTGCTGTGCCGTGCTGGGCGCCTGTTGCAATTCCGACGATTTAACTTTTGTAAAAATGCCAGCAACGCGCACCGCCACACTACTAGGGTAGTGGTGGGTATGACTTTTATTGCTGGAACTTTTAAGACTTTTTTGAGATTTTTTCAATTGCTTATGATTTTTATGAGAAAACTGCAATTAATGAGAAATTTACGGCAAATTAGCAAAAATAAGATTTTTTTATGGTATTTTTTGATAAAGTGGAATTTTCAACAGAAAATTGTTTGTAGTTAAGGCGAAATGTTCGACGGAAATTTCGTCAAAAATGAAAAACAAAAAATTTATTAAAGTCTGTGTATGATGTGACAATACCATCTACTTTAATTAAAACAATTTATTTGAAACATTTTTTTGTGCAAATGTTTATATATTTATTTAGTGTACATAAATATTAATGCAAATTTTTATTTTGAAATTTCGTCTACACAATATTAGCACATGCGCCATTGACGATTCGCTACACGTTCGTGTCTATAAATACGACTACATGTTGACATATATTAAATAGTTATGTTTTAGTGTTTATATAAGTGTAACTTAGTGTTAATTTTAGCACATTAAATATTGCAAATGTTGCACATGCCTTGAAAATGTTGAGTATTCTAGGCGCAACGGGAATCTACATATACGCGATTCTCTACGATCACAATCATATAAGTATGTATGTATGTGTGGATGTGTGAGTTTAAGAGTACACATGCATTGCTATAAATTTGTAAATTTGTAATAAAAATCGAATTATGAGATCAAATAAAAATACTTTTCGTGTGAGAACTAGCAAAAAAACGCCTACAGCTACACATATTTCTTTAGCTTCTATTCGTTCCGATTGCCCTCGTGTTCGTCGGCGTCGCGCAGCACCACCTCAAAGCTGCGTTCATTGTCCAAATCCAACATTTCCACCTCGATCCACTCCTCGAGCGGCATTAAGCCCGCCTCCATTTGGCGACGCTGCAACGCCGCATCATGCTAAAACGTTTGCGCGTTACGACACACACCGCACCCCAGCGCGAACTCCTCACCCGTTGGTGGATGTATGACGTGCAAGGGACACTCGTCGCCCAACAGTTGCTTGGCCTTCGGGCCGGCCGGACATTGTGGCAGTTTATTCTTCGGTATGTTCGTGAGTCGCTGGAAATCATCGTGGCAGGTGTCGCAGAAGTGTGTGGTGCCGAAGCAGAAAAACACCGCCACCGAGCAGCAGTAACGACATTTATATTCGAGAAAGTCAGTGCCATGCTTGGGGCACATTTGCGCACGCGCCACGTCCGAACAGCCGCCGCAGACCAACTCTTGCGGATCGAATTTCTCGCCGATTTCGGCGTCACACCGTGCTTCGCCGCCATAATAGGCCTTCTGGCACTTGTAGCACACATAGTAGGCATAGCGATCCATGGCCAAGTTGGTGACATCCTTGGAGTCGGTATCCTTGACGACGCCCTCGTATTTCAAACTGCAAAGTAGACCCATTTTAAGAAAATAAAACTGGATTAAGTAACATTTGGGATTCCAAAACTCACCGCATCAACGCTTTGCGCTTGACGTCCTGCTTGAGCGCGTTAATCGGTTCCAGAATCTCGACGAGCAGTGCGTGTTGTATGTCTGCTTTGCAAATGGGACACAAAGAGAAGCCAAAGGTGATGCGAGGACCGCTCCAACGTTTCTCAATGACAGCTTTGCAGCAATGATAGTGGAAAACATGACCGCACTCGAGCTACAAAGTATAAAAACGGTTAATTAAGAAAATAAATTAATATTTGCGCTCAGCTTCACATTCACCTGTATGGATGGTGCACACGACAGCGCCTCCACAAAGCATATCATGCACATGTCGTCTGCATCCTGCGTCAATTTCGGCTCATGCTGCTCTTCGGCGATCTTATTTTCGCGCGCGTGACACACATGCTGCAAGCAGGGCAAGCATTTCTTCTCATTGGTCACACCGCCGCACGGATGATCGCACGACTTCACCTTCATACACGAATTGGCCGCATGCTCTTGACATTGCGCATCGGCACACACATTGCCGATCTCCAGCAGTCCCGAATTGCCGGTAATGCCACAGAAACGGCAACGACCAACCGCCTCTTGTGGTCCGGATATGATTGTGTGACTGCCATCGCGGAATTCCACCATTGCCTTCAGCGTCTTTGAGTCGGCTAAGGCGAGTAGCCAGAAGAGTTTAGTGCGTCCGCACGACTCATGCAGTTCGACGCGTATGGCTTCTTCTTCCTCCTTGCAAACCTGATTAGATTAAATTTGTCGTTAAAAAGCAATATTTACAGACATTTAGACGTTAATAAGTTATAGACCAAATTCTTCGATAGTCACTACATTGATTTAAGACGATATATCGCAGTCAACCTAAGATATTATAGAATTCATGAGTATTATATGCAATGATTAAGCAAATGTTAATGTGTCCTGGAAGTCCTTAATGAATTCCAAGCAAATATATCGTTCCACAAATGTTGAAGTGGGATTAAAGATGGATAAGGAAATATTGATTTCTTTTTTTTTTAGAATTATTGACATGCGCTAGGCTTCCACGTCACTGTTGACAGTCATAACTTCGATGTCGTAGATAATTTCGTCCATCTTGGAACCAGCATTAACACCAACAATAATGTCGGCCTCGAAATTATACGCAGAATAACCCTTGCCAGCAGGTGCTACTTTGGACTCAGTAGGCAATTGAGAAGTGAAGTCTTCTCTCGACGAACAAAGACCAAACTCTACAAGCCACTCATCATCCCCACCTTGCTGTATGGTGCAGAAGCATGGACGATGACAACATCTGAAGAGTCGGCGATACTATTTTGCGATAGAAAGGTTCTCCGGAATATTTATGGTCCTTTGCGAATTGACAACGCCGAAAAACCACAATCGACGGAACAATGAGCTGTACGAGATACACGACGACGTTGACATAGTTCAGCGAATTAAAAGACAGCGGCTATGCTCGTCATGATCATGTCGCCCGAATTGACGAACACTCCAGCTCTGAAAGTATTCAACGCTGTATCTGCCGGGGAAAGAAGAGCAACCCCACCACTCCGTTGGAAACACTATATGGAGATGGACCTGAATTCGCTTGGAATCCTCAATTGTTGTTAACTCGGCTATAACCGTAAGCGGTGTCTAAGTCTAAGTGATAGAATATTGTAATTGTAGCGGCATCAAACACTCTTGACGGAAAGTAAAGTTGACACTACTTGACGGGGTAAAATCCGGATCCGTTCCGGCAACTCGACTATCTTGGGAATGGTGGAATCCACTAGTAATATATTCCAACCGAGAAATATCAAATGTAAAACCATTTGGTTTTATATATTTGTGATAACGAGTCCGCGTGAGCTTGTCGACGATGTAGACGAGGAAGAAGATACCAAGCAAAACTAGAAATCGGTTTGGTGTGGTTTGGGGGTCGATGGAATCATCGGTCTACTTCGAACAAACATAATGCCGGTGAGAGCGTAACCGTAAATGGCGACCGTTATAACGGATTTATTGAGAGAACACTTTGGTGAGCAGATCATTTCAAGTTGTGAGTCAGTCGATTGGTCACCAAGATCGTTTGATATCACAGCGTTAGCATTGACATACCTTGTTCAGGGTATAAAAAGTCCACATAGACTGAAACCTATGAATGCATCGAACAGGTTCCGAGTAAATATGTAATATGATCTACATTCCTTATATACCACTCAAGCGAATTGCCTGCAACTGATGTCTCACTAGCCTCATAAACAGTTAATTTATACAACACTCTTTACTTGTGTGAGAAAAAATAACGGCTTTTCCATAATATCTACCAGCTATTTCACTCTTACACTTACCGTCCGCTTATGCATCCGAGTTTTGCGATTTAAATGCAAAAATCGATCACAATCGCCACACAGCGAACCACAAGTCTCGCACTGGATTATGGCAGCAGTCTCGCCATCATCGTGATTGGTGCACATGGGACGTGTATCGGATACCTTAGACCACTGGCCGGACGACAATTTCTCCACATGATCGCGATCGAGCACACAGAGGCTGGCGAGCGCCAACCACATGGTGGCGGTTTTGACGCAATGTTCCGGGTTGCGGAAGATCTCATCCAAACGCGTTAAATTCAATACAGACTCCGCAATGGCGGCTTTGGTGATCTGAGACCATTTCTCGCTTAATTTACCCTGTGCGAAAAGATAGAAAAATGTTCATTCTTAATAAAGCCTGCAATTAGTAAAAAAAAAGTTAGCAACACTTACGCTGGCTAAATCGCGCACGAGGCTAATAATACTTTCTGCCTGCTTGGTAGATATGACGCCATTTAAAAACCAACGCTGATTGAGATTTTTCTTATGCTCCTTCTTACTCGCTTTCAGTGTCGAACGGCCCAGCTCATATTCGCCACTCTCCACCTGTTGATCGAAACGGAATGGATGCGTTTTTGCCGAAAATTCAATGGCATCACCATCGCTGGCGCTTTTCTCACACTCGGCGTCCGCTTTTGCTTTCTGCGTTTGCTTCAACAAGTGCACAGACAAATCCAGCGAACTGCAGAGACGCACGAAGGAGGGTGTCTTCTCCAGACTCGGTTTGCTTGAGGTTGACTTGACTTTGACTTGTAACTGTAGCGCCTTAGCGATGACAGCCAAAAATATGTCCAACAAACCCAAGCGATTCATATCGAAGTCGGCCGCGCTTTGATGTGCAATATTATAATCGGCTGGCGGTAAGCGCTGCACACCCATCAGCTCCGCGAAGCTCTCTGGCGAAATTTCAGGTAGTATGCGTCGTAGCAGCGCTGTCACCTGCCGTTGAACGCGATCACTGCCTGTATGGAGCAGCGTTAGAAGATCCTTCAGCAGTCCGTACTGATGTGAGAGATATGAGCGACCGACGACACTGCCCGAGAGCGCCAACACCATGCTAAGCATTTCGAAGCAATAAGTGTCGGGCGCACGATAGCGCTCCGAGCTGGACTCACTTTTTGGATCACCTGTCGAGGTGGCGGACGTGGTGTTAGCATGTGCGTCTTTGAAACAATTCGCCAAGTTCACAATCTCCCAATCTTCTTTGGCACGATGCGCTTCCTTTTTGATCGCATGCACAATATGCACAATCACTTGCTTCTGCAGGTGTGAGAGCTTGCTACGCGAGAAAAGTATACCAACCATATGTTCGCGTAGATCCAGGGAATCGGCGAGCATAGAAGCGCCACTGGAATCCATGCCGAGTATGGATTGATGGCCGGCATCGCTTGCGACGTTGCTGATCAATTTACCAAATACTTGACCTGCAGAGAGAGAGAAAGCGCGTTTTAAATTTAAAGCATGTTTAATTAATTTATTTAAAGCATTTTAATTTGCACCCACCTGTTATTAGTCGGAAGACACGCAATGTTTCAGACTCACAGATCTGCTGTTGTATGCGTAGGGCATTTGTCAGCTTCAAATTTGATTTGAGCGTGCTACCAGCATTACCGCTCGCAGCCGCAGAATGCGCTCCACCAAAGTGCTCATGGAAATGCTCGTCGAATCCGCTCATGATGCTCGGTAGACCGAGCAATTTGATTTGTCGCACACGTAATGTATTCTCCGGACCGTGAAACTCCAAGCGGAAGTGAGTGTAAGACTCATTGGTAATTTTGGCGGATATCCAGGCGCAAGCTTTTGAATCAACATCAACGGATTTGATAAGATTCGTATCGCCCAACGATTGTCCGGCATAAAAGACCACATTCAGCACTTTGTTCTAAAAGAGCAATTAGGTAATATGCATCATGATAAAAAACTTTAAAAAACTGCAAAAATATTTCTTTTTCTTTTGGGCCAATGAACTTTTACAGAGAATCGAACATGAGTATTAATCGAAAGACTCTACCTAAGGGAGAATACGTATTACAGACGTCGCGGTCTCGTATAATATTTTCAGACTCGGATTAAATGTGAGTAAGAGAAATCTTGCAGAATATATAGATATTAGAAAAGCTCTCAGTACGAAGGATATTTCCGAGCAGCAAACACAAATGTCCGTTCAAATTCGTCAATAGTGGGAATTGTCCCAAACAGTGGCGGAGCCGGTATCGACGGAAAGGAAGGTTTTGCTGTGTGTTTGATAGGATTGGAAAGGAATCATACATTATGAGGTGACTGCGGACAACTGGACCGCTTGAAGCAGGCGATAGACCAGTGTTCCACACACTTCGTTGATGACTCGTCAGAAGCTACGGGAGCTCGGATGGGAGGTTTTATCGCATCCACCATACAGCGCGAACATAGCGCCATCTGATTACCATCTGCTCCTGTTCATGGTGATGGTCCTTGTTGGTGAAAAGTTGAACTCAAAAGAAGCTTGTGAAAAGTGGCTGTCCGAGTTCTTCGCAAATAAGAAGGGGGGGCTCCACAAGGGGGGTATTATGAATTTCCGTCTAGATGAAAACAGATTATCGAACGAAACGGCGCATATTTGAATTAAATCCGATTACTGTAACACTTTTATAAAGCATTGAATTAAGAGCAAAAAAGTGGAAGGATGACATTTGACAACCTTATATAATAAAAACAGTCACAGTACTAAATAATGACGAATAATAGGACGGATTCGGCAGGTTTGTTCAAAAAAATAGCAACAAAGAACCATGGCAACTGTTCCGAAATAAGTCGTGGTAGGGTCTACGTAACCGGAATGGACCCGGATTTTTTATCTGGTCAAAGACTACTTAGTCGGCATAATTCTGCTGTTAGCTACGTAAAATAGTAGATCGTGAACTTTCCAAAAATTTCGTACGTTAAATAAGGTAAAGCGGTAAGAAATGTCAAATTATTCGTCACTATTTCACATCATAAAAAATTTAACAAAAATAATAATAACAATGGAAGACAGGATTTCCAAAAATAGCACAGTTAAACTTTTTTTGACTCACCTGTATGTCCCGACTGTTGTCGATGTGCACCAAAACCACCTTACACGTGTATGTTAGCTTAGTCATCGAGATCTCAATGATCTTGCATTTATTGCGATCCTCCTCGTCACTTTCCCAAAAAGTCTCAGTCGAGTTGTCCGTCAGCGATTCGGCCATGGCCTGACGTGATGACACTGTAACCTCAAACATGCCATTCAAGTCGGAATAGCAAACAATTTTAGCACCCGCAGGTGCACCACCCGCAACAACTACCACCGCACCTCCAACACTCTGGAAATTATGCTCCACATCATGCATGCCCGCAGAATTGCCAACACCGAAACCACCCTCAACGGCTGTCGCACCCGCCATGCCCATGCTCGACACAGCCATAACATCATCTTGCTCATCGGATTTGGAAAGTATCTTAGAAATATTGCCGAACACATGAGAATTGTGTAGGAATTGATGATCGGTTTGGCGAAATCGTATGCCAAAGCATTGTATGGCGATGCGTTGCAAGGGTGAACCGAGCGGCAAGTAGAGCGTAAGATCGGCAACAGACTGCAGAAATACATGCAAGCTTTGTGTGATTAAATGTGAGAAACGACCGCTGATCTGCGTGTAAGTCACAGGGTGTTCTAAAGCGGGCTCCACATCCTCATACTTGCCATCAATCATATCGACAGCGGAAATAGTTAGCGAACTGACGAACCACCACATGAGATCGTGTAGGCAGATGCTTTGCGTCACCGAGCGCAATAACCAATTAATCGCTTGTAACGAGTATATGCGACAGGCGGCTATGCGTAGACTGCGCTTCATAGCGTAGCGCAGCTTCTCCAGATCATGTTTTTGTGTAATGAATGCCATAGCAGGACGTTGCAGCAGCGCATTCACCTGTGAGGCTAGCTCCATTTCGAGGAGCGTGTTTGATGTATCTTTGTCACGCATAGCGTTCGCCCTCAGCAAGGCACTGCCACTCGAGTACTCACATTCCTTCGTTTTAACACCGCCTATTTCCGCTGTCTTCAATTTCTCCTCATTGTCATTACGCTCCGGTTGGTCGACGGAATGCGAGTGCGTTTTTGCACCACTCATGCCGCCATCGGTGTTAGCCAATCGCTGCACAGCTGGGTGTACAATACTGCTGTTCAATATGCTCTCCGGCACCAGGCGACGCAAATTCTCCGAAGGATAGCAAATGAGTAAAGCACCATCGCTTTCGCTGGTGGAGTTATTGCGTCGTCTGAAAACGACTTTGGTCTGTTGTGCTTCGTCCGCATTCGCAGCGACATTTTTCAATTGGAATGTGCCCTGCTGTTGAGCCAAGGCCCAACCTTGACCCATCGAGAAACTGCGGTGGAATTTCGAGAGCGTTCCGGTATTTGAGCCACCACCGCCGCCTTGCTGTGCGCTCATTGATGCCGTCATTATTTCGTAATTATTTGGATCGCACGATTCGTAAGACATTTCCGAAAGTGGCTGGTAGAGTTGAATTTTAAAAAATATATCATATATTATAGGAAAATTTTGAGAAATATCATCACACTTACCCGATCAAATCCATTTTCCGTGGCATTCAAGCCGAACATCTCGTACGGCAAATCTTCGTTATTCACCACACCGAGTGATTCTAAGCATGCAAATGTTTCTGGCGCCAGCCAAATATGCTCCGGAGAGACAGAGCTACCCGCAAAGCTTTTGCGGTACGGTGTTGAACCTGTGAAGTAAAAAAACTTATATTATATAATGTTGACCACATAACTTTTAGGCGGCAGGCCATATATCCATAAAAGAACATTTTATGGAACCTATTAAAAACTAACATCCGAAATTTTGGTGTGGATTATGACGCAGTTGGAAGATTCCAACATGAGTTCTTTAAAATTGATTTAAACAAAAGGCGGAACTATCCATTCAAATTCAACAGACCGGAATCGGATAAAATTTAAAAAGACACTAAGCCAGCCAGAGCTTTCGTGGTAATCTTCCCCATTCAAGGGTGGATCAAGTAGAATCTACAAAACAGTACCAAAAGAATCATATTCTCGAAGAATATCATTAATGTGGATGAAGATGTTATCAAAAAAATCATATCTACACATACATATGATATATAGCAGACTAGATGTATAATTCTAGTCGAATAGTTTCCGATTAATGCCACTAAAACTCGAAAATATGGTAACGGAGTTTCAATAAGAGCGCTACAAAAGATATTTTAAACAAAAAAAAAACAATTTGGGATATACATTATGTATGCCACCACGGGCACGCTTGCAGAAGTCCAGACGCTGAACCCAACTTTCGACAGTTTTTAAGCATAAATCGGCCGATACTGCTGCAATTTCACTTTCGATATTCATACAAAATCCATCAATCGAGACTGATTTGGATCTTCCTCAATTGATGCGCTAGCGGCAGCAATATTCTGGACACTACCGAAACTTCATTGTCTCACTGGCACTGGAACCTTTTCGTATATATCTTTCCATGATGAAATGGCAAACCTTACTAAAGAGAAAAGTCAAATGAACGGAAAAAAATGGTGTTGTTTTCTGTCTCTATCGGTCTACTTTTGTAGACATACATGTATGTATAAGCCCCTTTTAAGCCATACCCACACTAGACAAGAACGATATATGTATGTATTATATTCATATGCCTCTTACTGCCAAATTTTCCGCTCATTAGCAAGCCAATACGACTATTACGCGCCGAATCGCCACGACTTGTGCTCGGCTTGTTCAAATCGGACATGTTAAAGTGCTGATGCTCGACTACGACGGGCATTTGTTGAGGTGATCGTTTGCTTGACGAAATCATATTGAGTGGATTTGAGCCAGCAGCGGTATTGCTACTGCACGGAGCGTTTAAAGTAGAAGCGCTTGAGGATAGCTCAAGCAAGAATGTGGCGTTTTCACGCATTGTTGTATAAATCTCGGAGTTGGCGATCAGTGATGTTGTCTTTACGCCGAATAAATTTAGTTCGTTTGCTGCAAAAAGATTACAATGTATTGAACAGAGAACTTAAGGTGCCATTTTGAGGCATACTTACAGGTAAGTACCACACCCGGTGCATTATTCACGTTGTTGACATTCTTACTTGCAGTCATGTATTTCTCACGGCATTCGTCGCACATCAAGAACCAACTGGACGCACCCTTGCCACCTTCACCGCAATTCCCGGCCCAACCCTCACAGAAAATGCCAACCGAATTGTAACCTTTGCCCTTGGCCGATTTGCCACAACCGGGATGTACGATGCGCATGTGATATGTTACGGGTATTGGTAGAAATACCTCGCAAATCTCACAATATGTGCCATCGTCCTTCTTCCTCCGTCGCATTTTCTTCGCCACATCACGCTCGTTAGACTCTTGCTTTTCTTTCACATCCGCGTTTGGCTCACGTGTGGGCGTACCATTTCCACCAACCGCAGCGCTGGCACCGACACCGACACCCGCAACGCCACCGTTTTTCTCGCGATCCATTATATTTGATTGCATCAGTTGCACACAATTGGTGCACACCTGCTCCCACAGATAGACAAGACAACGCAGCGCTGGCGGCAACACAGTCACCACTTCGGGCAACGTGTGTAACTTTTGCTTTTCACCACCCTCCGAATCTTCACCGCCACCCGCACCTGAACTAGCTGTCAAATTTTTGCGATGCTTACGATTATTCAGCGAAGAATTGCCGCTCTTCGTAAGCGTCTCCAGCGTGGAGGGTCTGATATTCAGATAGGTGCCAGCATTTGCCACCTCAACAGAGTGCCGCTGTTGCGCTTTTTGCTCTCTTGACAGCTGGAGACGACTGTCTTTAGAGTCACGACGTGTCACAACTGTGGCGCCTTCTTTGGGAAGTGTTGGATGGAATTTGAGAAAACTAGCGCATGCCATAGCATCGTGCACGAGTCCCTCATGCCAGAGGAAAGCCGCGAACACAGCACGTATACTTTCGGCTAGCGATGGCGGCATTGCGCGTTTGATGGGCCCAATAATACTACGTTTACTGGGCGATGATTTTGGCAACGTCGTGGAAGCCCCAGCCTGATTAAGTGGTGGCGGCCAGACTGGTGGGCTCGAGTCGTCTGTGCTGGCAGTAGTGCTCGCTGTCTTCATTTCGCCAAATAAAATTTGATCCTGTGTAGTTACGCCACCCCCAGTGGTGGTTGTTGTAATCTGTAACATGCTCATATCATCTTCGAGTTGTGTCAAATCGGGCTCCTTAAGCGCCACAGCGGCATCAACACCACGACTAGAAGGTGATGTGGTACGTCGGAGACTAGATATCAATTTGCGTGGCGAATGTTTTGGTGTGGAAAGTAAAGCGGCGGTCTGTGATGGTGTGAAGCTCGTCATACGTATTGTTGATATATCAAATGTGGCCGCAGCAGATAATGGTGCATGTTCTAACTCCTTTGAGCTTGAATCTTGTGTAAGCGAGCTAAAGAGCCCAGAAGTTTCCGAAGCTTCAGTAGATTTTATGCTAACGCTCGTTGACTCAGTAGAGCTTTTGGCCGTTGCTGGTATTTGTACAGGACTGGAGCTTCGTGGTACACTGCCTTGCACGTGTGCACTGTTGCCATTGCAGCGCATATCTTGTTGTCCACCCATTACGCGAACTAACTCACGCACAGAAACCGTAGACATTACTTCGGTTACGTCTGAGCGCTTACGTTGATGCTCCTTGGCCGGCGAGGGTGGTCCACCAGCAGCGGCAGAGCCTGGACCATCCAAAGTGTCACCCTTAAACCATTTCTGTAGAGCTTGTAGTTTTATAGCGCCACCACCGACCACGCCAGCAATAGCCGAACCGATTTGTGATGGACTGGTATTTTGTAATGAATGCAAAGACAGTAGATCGGCTTGCTGTTGTTGCTGCGACGATGAGGTGCTGTTAGTCTGCGTTGAAGATTGCATATCGAAAACCTTTTGTATTTCGCTATCTTCCGATTCTGACTTTGTCACGCTAGGGAATAGAAATGGATTTGTGGAGGTATGTGAAAGTTCAGACGACTTTGGCGGCGTGAAACGATCTTGCGAGAAGTCAAAGATCTTCTTGTTTGGTGACGCGGATTTCGTTTTGGATGGCGATTCAATTGGTACGGGTGAAACGGGTGATTCAACATTATCCAGCAAAATTTTATGTCGTGGCTTAGAAGCTGACTTACCACTACCACCACCACTACCAACTAGCATGGCAGTGCCAACACCAGCTGACGCATCGGTGGTACTGGTGCCGGTAGTGGTGGTTGTAATTGTAGTCGTAGTTGCCGCTCCACTCGACGTACTACCAACCTCATCTATTGGATGTAGTAGAGTCCGCCCGAAATGCTGATTATACTGCAAACACCACGCTTCAGTCGGATACCAACCCATTGTACAATGTTGCCGTATCGACTCGGTCGAGAGCCGCAACCATACACCGTCATCATTCTCAATTTCATCAATGAATGAAATAACGCCATTCAACTTGATAATGCCCACCTGCTCGGACTGCAGTGTGGGATGTGAGCGTATGCGTAAACCCGCTGTGTTTTTGGTGAAAAATTTACGCAACTTGTTAGGCGGTTGTGGTTTCTTCAATGCTTGTTTGTGTGAGGGTGGTGGTAAACCGCCTTCTTTCACCTCCACACGATAAACTTCTTCCAAAAGTATGCCATCAATATTGACTGTGAGGCAATAACTTCCGACTGAATTTGGCGTCCAGTGTACGCTGAATGTGCCATCTTCCAAGTCTTGCGCGTAGAGCGTCTCGGTGATGCGTGTCTGTATGGGACTGCTGAAGCGCAACTCTTCAAAAGAGTAATTGCCGTAGGGTTTCATGAATGTTATGGCTTTGAAACACATTTTCTCTTTAATTGTTGGCTCATAATTCAGACGAGGTGGCGGTGGCACACCGCCGTATGAGGTGTTGTCCGTATAAGAGCCGCGTCGCATTTTGATGTTGCCATTGCCAGAAGCGCCGGTAGGAATGGCTTTGATTTCCACCTATGAGAGAAAAATATAATTAAACATTATAGTTCACTTGAAGTGTTCATTGTTGCGGCAGGTTTTCCTTGGATGATAAAAAAACGTACTTAACCATTTAAATATACTCGAGGACAGTTTCAAACAAATGTATTACTCTAGATGGATCTTTTAAATAGCCAAATGTTTTCTCTTATATTAAGAGGGCCCCTTAAACAACACCTAAAATGGGAAAATGACGTATGCGAAAATATAAGTCATTCCTCCCAAGCTTCTTGCTCACCTTAAAGTGGAATCTTTTCATTACGAATGGCTAGCAACGACGATATAACTTTATCATCAGCGATAAAATAACTCCTATGCCCTTGACGGTCTAGAGACAAAATCGGCAGCATTGGAACTAAGCTCAAATGCTGAATGCCATTCACTTGAACATCTTGAATCTATAGATTACCGAAACCGATATATATAGATAAATCAGATTGAAATTGACTTAGATGGTAATAAAACGAATATCGAAGGACGAATTATGTATTTATATATGTATTTTACGCCAAAAAGCGAGAAGCCATTTAGCGATAATATATTAGATTGTCAAAAAAGTCTTGCGGTATTTTTGCGTTATTTTTATTGAATTTTCAATTGTTCATAAAATTTTTTTTGATGACTCATGCCCAGCTCTTGGCCGATGCTACGGCTGCTACTATGCCGGTCTCTTTCGACCAATTCAGCGATTTTATCGCAATTTTCGACGACAGGCCTTCCGGAGCGTGGCGCATCTTCGACCACCTCTACACCAGAACGAAAACGTTGTGCGGTGGAAATGGAAACTGTATCGGGTCCATAAACTGCACAGATTTTATTGGCGGCTTGAGATGCATTTTTGTCTTTATCGTAGTAGTACTGTAAAATATGCCGTATTTTCTCTTTATTTTGCTCCATGTTTGTGACGCTATACTCACGAACGACTTAAAAGGAACGACAATCAATCAAACACGTGTTAGCGCGTGAAATGAGCTTTCAAAAAGGTACAGCATGACCCGATGCGACGAATAAAACTAGAAATACGCGCTCTCAGAACCAACTAGCGAAAACACCGCAAGACTTTTTTGACAACCTAATATTAAACATTTCGTCGAAGGCTTAGTATCAGCAGATTCAGAAATTATTACCTCGTCCGATATTTGGCACCCCTCAGATCATAGATGACTTGGAAGAATATAGTATCTAATGTGAGTTCGTGAAGGCCATTCTAGTTTAAAATGCTGCCAAATTAAAACCCAGAATTTAAGTTTGGATCGGTTGCGATTACGTCGACTGGGCATTTGGGAATAGTTCAACCTTAGATTGGTGGGATGGGTGCTAACACTATTCCTTAAAAGTTAAATGAAAACTGTTTAGAAGTCACTCTCACACAGCATCTATTTGCCATTTTGTTAATATTCGATTTTTCGATACGCAAAAATTTTGAAGTATATATAAAATGATATGATTAAGAAGTCTCCGGCTGACTCTTAGATGGCGCTAGTAGAATTAAATCAATGAAACTACTAGAATTAAATCTAGTTAAAGAAAAAAGGGCTCCTCTATAAAATTTTAGCAGCCGTCGGATCATTAGCTTATGAATTATGTATATCAGCTCGAGTGAAGAAACTCGTTATTGTGAAAAATTGATAAAATATACTTTTAAAGGAAAAAATGCAGTTATAGCAAAAACTTGGCTTGATAACATGTTTCCGGACACTGCCCCAGGAACGAGCAACGAAGACAGTAAATGCAGTGAACGCGGAAAGGAGGTTGTTACCGACGAAAACATCAAAAAGCCTACAAAAGTAATAAAATCTAAATCACTGATTGTGTACAGCACTCGCGAATATTTTGGAAATGGGAAAGCTCTGTGCAAAGTCGGTGCCGCCTGATCTCACTTTTAGTCGAAACCATCGCCGAGTTAATGATTCGAAGCAGTGCTTGAAGATGTTCAAGTGTAACAAACCCGTGTTTTGTATCGATGTATGACAATGGACAATCGTTGCATCATTTTACTCCGAAGTGCCATCGGTGGTCATCCGACTAACTGTACACGAAGACCCCGCTCCAAACAAAACTAATCGCATTTGAATAACAAAAAGTGCAGTTTCACCAAGATAACGCATCGTGTCAGAAGTCAGATAAATTGAGGGAGAAAATCCATGAATTCGTTTTCGTATTGCATTCACATGCACTGTATACTCCTGATCTGGCCCCCAGCGACTATTTCCTGGTTTCAGATCTCAATACAACGCTCGCTGGGAAGAAATTTCCGTCGAATAAAGAGGTGATCGTCAAAATTAAGCCTATTTTGAATCAAATGACAAATCGTACTACAAAAATGGTATCGAAAGATTTTGGGGTCGCTATACTCACATTCGAAGGAAACTATGTTGAATAGGAAAAGAATTCATCACAAAAATGTGTATCAATATGGCTACAAGCCAGCATGCAGTGATGAAAATATAGCAGCCGTAGCGAGAGTGGACACAAAGACCGTGGAGAAGAGATTTAGTGCCGTTCGCAGTAACGCCGACTGACGTATGGAACGACTTGGCGCATTTGCGCATACAAAACACAGCTTGTAGAAAGAGAGACATTGCTTCGCTCTATGAGCTCTTGAAAAGCTCCATCCGATTCGAACCAAATTTGTTGAACGGCTCAATGGGTATGAGAGAATCAAGAACTACATTCAGAAAAAATAACGGTTTGGTGTGGTTTGTGGGCCGGTGAAATCATCGGCCCAAATTACTTCAAAAATAATGCCGGTGAGAACGTAATCGTCAATGACTATTTCATACCTGAAATTGAAGCTCGTGATATCGATGACATTTGCTTTCATCAAGACAGCGTCAGTTCCCACAAATCGCATACTACATCAATGGATTTATGGAGAGAACACGATAAGCAGAAAATTTCACGTTTTGGGCCGATCGATTAGCCACCAACATCGTGTGATATCACACCGTTAGATGTTTTCCTGTGAGGATATATAAAGAGTAAAGTCTACGGCGACAATCCCGCTTTAATTCAGGCTTTGGGGCAAAACCTCACGGGCTACTAGTCGAAATGAACGAACGAATCATCGAAAATTGGACTCAACGGACGGACCATATGAGACGTAGCCGCGGCCAACATTTGAAAGAGATAATCTTCAAAAAATAAATGTCAAAGAATTTTCTTTCAAATGACAATAAGCATTCCCCATTAAATTTGAAGTTCCTGTTCAAAAAAGTAGGGAACCTCGAAACTTTTTTGACATATGTCGTTTGAAGTCTGCCGCCTCATTTGCGTTTACAGCATTTCAGGTGGGCAGTTTTATATTGCTAATTAAATTATGTGTAAGTATATTAACAAAAACAAATTTTAACATTTTTAGATGGCAGAAAATAAACAACGCACAGTTTGCTATTATATGTCCAATACTCTTAACTTTTTCGCACATTTTTTGCATTACAATCAATTATTGCTTTTAATCTCACTCTATAATCTTTTAACGTAGTTAATAAGAAACGAATTTTTTCGTTAAATTTATGTTGATTTTCCAAAAATACCAAAATTTCTATTAATAATTTATATTATTAATTTTTATTTCACCTTTAAATTTTTAAATAAATGTCACAATCAGCTGTCTAAATGCAGAAGTTTGCCGTCTGCCACCATAAAATTTCAATGCGCATTAGCGTTGCTTAATGCGTATTAATTTTGCTTTGCATTTCCATTCCATGCCGAGCTATTTGCATGAAAAAAAATTTTTCTGAATTTGATTTGAAAAAAGTCTTAGATGTGATATTCTCCTAATTAATTTATGTATGTAATATAAAGTAAAATAAAATGCAGACTCACCTTCAATTCCGGCACCAGCACAGCATCGCCATATTGATCGCGAATGGTCACAGTGATTTGGGTTGGCCAGCCATAACGTAGCGGTTCGGTTATTGTATTTAATTCACATCTAATTGGAATCGGAATGAAATGAAATGAAAAATTTCATAATAAAGAAATCAGAAATAAAAATGCAATAACAAGAAACTACGTGATAAACAATTCAACTTACTTATTTGGATCGAGACGTGATTCCGGTTGCAGCCAAGCAGCCAAACGAGCGCCAGACGAACCCGGTGCGCCGCTAATGAAATCTTTGAGAAATTGACGTTCATTTGATTGGGAACTGAAATGGCATAAAAGGAAATAAAGAAGCATTTAATGTATGTTAAAGAATGCTTCACACAAATTACGTGTGTTTAAAGTAAAACTCAGTTGCTTAGCGAATTAAGTAATCTAATAATTTTTCATGTAACAGGTGGAGCAATTAGAAACACAACACACTGAAGCAAAAAGAGGCTATAAATTTATAAGAAGAAAGCACTTAGTTATAAAGAAGCCGCTGATAGTGGAAAATATTCGAATTAGAATTAGAGGTCCCACAGTGAAACAAAAAACCATTTATAATTCAGAGGGCGTCTGCGCGAAGCATTATGAACAAATAATTTTCCGACCGTTGCATTAACTGGTTTTCATCGGCTTACGGCTTTGTTCTTTATGGCTTTCCCTACAAAGATTTGATTTTAACCCTTTCAAGTTCGTTTTCGTAGCTGTGCGCTGTGAGAAAATAAAAGCCACAGGCTTTTAAAGCCAGTGTTGCCGCTTAGTGCATAAATGTTAGATGTAAAAGAAAATACGCGTAAGTATGTATGCTTCAAGTTCGAAGCCATACTCTTGTTCGAACTCCCAGAAGAACATACTAAAATTATGGTTGAAACACTTCTCCAGCCTACTGAATGGCAGTGAAAGCATAGCACCCAAAGATGGTGAACTCGATTCCCCAATTGATGACTATGGAGCGGACTTTCCATTGCCCGAATATGAAAAAATTCAAATAACAATTAGTGGTCTGAAGCACACCAAAGCGGCGGGTGCCGAAGAGTGGCCGGCCGAGCTAATAAAATACGGTGGCGAAGCAGTAATAAGGAGCATACATCAGCTTTTTTGTAGAATCGTGGGATGAATGAAATTTAAGTGTGTTGTCTGTCCGATTAACAAAAAGGGAGACCACCCAATTTACGCCAACTACCGTGGGATAAGTCTTCACAACATCGCATATCAGGATTCATCGAGCGTACTGTGTGAAAGATTAAAGCCCACCGTCAACAAATTGATTGGCTCTTTATGAGAGTGGCTTTAGGCCTGGAAAATCAACATCTGACCAGGTATTCATCACGCGCCAAATCTTGGAAAAGACACGTAAAAAATTATCGACGCACCTCACCTCTTCGTCGATTTTAAAGCTGCTTTGCACAGCACGAAAAAGAGCTGGTTTAAGACGCTATGTCTGAATTTGGTATCCACTAAGAACTAATACGGTGGTGTAAACTGACGTTAAGCAAAGCTCCGTCAGGATCGGGAAGGACCTCTTCGAGCCTGAGCTTTGATACCAAACGAGGTTTCAGAATCTTCAATTTATCATTTATCATGGTAGGTCAGTTTGTATGACATACATATACGCTATAGTGGTCGGATCTGAATAAAACGTATATTCGGAGATTGTAGCATTTTCGTGGGCAATAATTTGTGTAAAATTTCGTGAAGACATCTTGTAAAACAAATCAGTTTCTATGGCAGTATATAAAGCTTAAACTGCTCATTTGTCGAACCGTTGATATACATATGTTTTAGTGGGCCGATATAGTTGGTTCGGACAAATGGGCAGATTAAACTGAATAACTTTTTTCGGCACATAAAGAGAAAGGTAATACAAACTTAAACCGAGGTAGTAGAATAGAATAGGCCCGATTACACCTATCTACGAACTAATTTTTAATTAATTAATAATTTTTTTTTTTTTTTTTTTTTTTTTTGAGCCGAAGAACCCGTGTATCATGTATATCTAAATTTTACTCAAAAGTTTATTTATTTTTTATAGTTTGGACATCGAAAAAGCCCAATATATACAAATTCTCTTATGTCGAAAAAGTATTTATATGGCAACAGTTTAAGCCTATTTATTTCATCACAATAAATGTGCTGTGCGGCTCGTCAAACTGTCTGCTCGCCGTTGTTTCGTGATTTTCAAGCCATAGCAGGCGGCAATTAATAAAACTTCGCTAAAGCCGTTGACTGTCTACAAATTGGTAGTTATACATACATAAATATATACAGTATACTCATACATATAATAATATTAATGCATACTATATCAGTACATTTGTAGGAATGTTTGTTGGTAGCCTTATGGCTGCTCGTACGTCACAAAGTCAATGCAGTTAAAAGGCACGAATCGACAAATGCGGCGTGTATCCCGGCGTGCGCAGGCGCTCGCATCTTTTATATCCATTTCGCAAACACACATACATATGTAGTTAGAGGGATGTGTGTACCCTCCAGCCAGTGCATTGACGTTTTGCTCATAAACGCGGCGTAAACGCCGAGCTATGCCTGAAATAATCAGTCGGCGATGTGGGAACGTGTCGTACGTGCGCGCACAAAACAAGTAAACAGTGGAAAAAGGCAATAAAACACAAAAAACGTGATAGCCACAATGGCAGGAGCTGTTATACGCGCATATATAGTATGTGCATATATTGTAAACAAGGCAACTGCCTTGAAAAACACTAAAGCAGACAATGAATGCATGAATGAAGTAAAATGAATGTGATCGTGTGCGTAACCGAAGCTCAACTCAGCTGGAGATGAGTATAACAAATCTGTTCTTATTTACGAGTTGTTACTAAAAGGCGAAATCTATAATTACGGTTTGATAGCGCTCATAAAGATACATCTAACCAGCTAGACATTCCTATAATTCAAGAATATACATACATATAACTATTTAATAGCACCACCATAAAGATATAAGAAAGACGGGCTTTCACTTTGTCAATGTCGAAATTTTCAAATCGTATATTATTCTCGCTTGGTATATACATACATACACAAATAAGCAGTATACAAGTAGAACGCTTCAAATTTAAATATTCATATCTTAACCGAACTGAAAATTATTTTTGCTAAACGACTTTAATTTAAGTGTTTACCAAGTAATCACATTTTTTGTCTGGGTCTGGGTCAACTGAAAATTATTTTTGCTAAACGACTTTAATTTAAGTGTTTACCAAGTAATCACATTTTTTGTCTGGGTCTGGGTCTTCTAATGTGCCTACAGTCTTTTCTATCAATAGTGAGCAGGAACTTTGTGTATTTTTGATCTTCCGCTTGCTTCATTTGGTTTGTACTGAAGAAAGTGTTGATTCGTTTTGAAATGTTAAAATATCAAAGGTTAGAATAGGTTAGTCTGGTTGGCCAATGATACACGAATAAATTACTTTTCATCTTTTGCGACACCACATGGAGTTCAGTTTCTAGGATCATGAGGAGTAGTCATCCCTTAGGATGCCTACGATTGACGCGAATTTCAACAGACTCTGTGACCTCACTATCGATATCTCTCCGAGTATATCATAACGTGGGGACTCCAGATACTTGCAGCGTAGTCTTGCCAATGTGGCAGAAGTGCAAAAGAGATGTCCCATTGACATTTCCTGCAGTCTTCTCGATCTGTCAGCCTCATTCTGTGGACGTGTGCCACCACCAAACTTTGACCAATAAGTATTCCAATCATATTCCTACAGTCTCTTCTAGCAAGAGTAAGCAGGAACTTTGTGTGGCTAAGTGTCACAATTTCAACAATTGATTAGGCCTCGATCGATGATATTTCGACTGGAAACGAGAGGGTTATATTAGGCAAATGTTCAACAACTGGTGGCGCTACCCACCATTTGCTCTACATTAAGGCAACGCTTAAGGCACATTTACCCACAGGTAAGAATTTGAAACTCAATCATTGAATAAAAACGTACTGTTTGTTTCAAAGCTATAATATTTATTCAAATTCAATTAAAAATTCCGCCTTAAAGTTTTGGTATTGAAAATGTATAAAAAATATGAAATTGTCGTTTTGCGGATCATGAGAGATTAGTCTGAGATATGCTTTCGTTTCGAAGCAAATTAGCCATTGTTGAGACTTATTATTATAAGTATTATTTAAAATAATTACACACTCGTATGAAAAAGCGAGCAAATTATAAAAAGATAACGACATTGACATGCCCGACCATCTGACAAACTTTTTTGGATTTTTAAATGGAATCCGTTTCTGTTGTATATTCGATTTTTGAATTTTTCTTGCTTTTCTGAGTCTGTGATATGGACAATGGAAAAAGGTTAAGATTTGACCCTATCTTGGAATACTAGAATTAAAGCATACATTTTGACTCGGTTTCACACAATGATGATACTTTTTTTATTACACGACAATAGGCAACTTGTTCAAACTACTCACGCTAGATGTAAATTTCTCTAAAAGCTATATATCACAAACATTCCAGAATAAATAATAAAAAAGAAAGCAATTCACCCAATGGTTTCCGCATTTACCATAAAATCTCATTAGATTTTATTATACGTGGCACCTGTTATCAGGATAACTCCACAAAGAGCTCACGTTTTGAATTTTAATGAGCCACAATAGCCGAATAACAAAAGCATTATGGTACATACATACAGATAAATTAGAGGCTTAACGCTGAAGTCTTCAATGCGATAACATGAATACACAAACTAAGAGGGTGTCAACAATTGAGTGAGTTGTAAAAATTGAGTTAAAACAGAGAGAAAGACTTGAAAGAGTGAGTGGTTGAGCAATGATGCTCTCTTCTCTTTATTTGTAGGGAATGCAAATACTTATTTCTCCACATATATTACCATTCTCTGGGCGATTTGGCTTATCAGTTATTTCAATATCTCTAATTTCTTGTGCGATCAAATAACCCTACAATTGTACGTTCGCTGAGTTTAGCGCCAAATTTTGGAACAGTTGACCTTTAGTACGAAACCGAACTGTAAAATGAAGTGATATTTCTATGTTAATACATAGTGAATTATAGATACGTACATATATCGTGACTTATATTTAAAGCTTTTATTATTTATTAAAAGCTTTTATTATTAAAATTGATTTTTATTATAAAAACCAATGTTCTTCTTGTAAGGCCTTCTATTCACATTACAAATTATCTATGATTTGATTTCAAGGCCATTAAATTGGCCGAAAAGGTTTATATTTTTTAGGTTATATTATTTACTAAATATTTTGCTCCAAAAGAATGGTAAGGC